GAGGGTGGGTCAAGGCATGGCTTGTTGGGAGGCATTTTGCCTGCACTGTATTAGGGAAATAGGCATTGTCTCCATGAGCAGGACCCATAGCCTGAAGGATGTGTACTTGAGGGTGAATGATGACACAGTAGACAAATGACCAATGTCAAATGACCTGAGGGTCTCAGGTCCTGCTAACTAACCTCCACTCCTTCCTGTTAGAAGCCCTAATGCCTGGACCCTAGCATATACGGGTGGCTTTGCCAGGTGATCTCTGCTGCCCCCTGGTGGCCACTCCAAATGGCTGCTGGATTGCAGAGGCTTCCCCTGTAAAGTGTAGATTCATAACCTACAGCTTACAGCTCAGGTCCTGATTCCTCCCCCACGGATTGCTGCTTCACTTGCTAGTCCCACTGTCTGGTCCCCCACTCTTCAAGGTCAGAGGTCTCCAAATCACAAAGAAAGTAGGTTAGTTCTGCTATAGACCAAGGGACCTATGTGAGTAGGCAAGGAATGCATATGTCTGAAACAAGTTCACTGGTAAGGTTACGGGAGCACTGGTCCATGTGGGCAGGGCCTGGGAAGCAGCACCTGAGCAGAGGGTGAGAAGAGGGGAGCAGAAGATGGTTCAGTCCATGGTGAGGTCCCCAGAGTTCCTCTCCTGAGCCCACTATTGAGCCTGGTCTCCCGAATCCTCCCCCATGCCCTTAGTGGTCCCTGTGAAAATGCTCCATCTCTGGTTGGTGGAGGGAATCTCTGTGCTCCCGGTTGGGCTTCATGGATATGGTGCATGAGGAACTGTGCTCACCTCTGGGCTTCATAGGGGTGCTCTTGTCACTTTGTGTCTGAAACAACTTAAAGCCTTGGGAAGAGATGAGGGTATTTCTGTAACTGTTCTCATGACATGTACATTCGATCATTTGTTTACATTTTTGTGTGTGTTGACCATGAAATATTTCTGAAGCATTTGTAAGTGTCCCCTTCCTCTTCTTTGATTCTATGTCTGTTCTGAGAATTTTTTATATCCTAAATTGTGCAACAGAACGAGTGGGAATATTGTCCTGAACTTGTGCTTAGTAGGAGTTTATTTGCTATAGGTTTCTCATTCTTGGGTGTTGCTGTTCAACTCAATTTGACAATATCTATCTTTTATTTGTGGTGTTTGCACTATATTCTGAATGTGAGTAGTAATATAGTTTAGTAGATCACATCTTGATATTTATTTTTTGAATGTTCCATCATTTCTTTGTTGCATTTGTCCTTTTAGCTCTTGTTTTTGAGTAATGGAACATTTTTAATTTTTTTTTTTTACAAATAGTTTATTGTCAAGTTGGTTTCCATATAACACCCAGTGCTCATCCCCGCAAGTGCCCTCCTCCATGCCCATCTCCCCCCTCCCCCCCCCATCAGTCCTCGGTTTGTTCTCAGCATTCAAGAGTCTCTCATGGTTTGCCTCTCTCTCTCTCCCCCACTATTTCCCTCCGCTTCTTCTCCCCCACAGTCCTCCATTAAGTTCCTCCTAATCCTCTTATACATGCAAACATATGGTAGCTGTCCTTCTCTGCCTGACTTATTTCACTCAGCATAACACCCTCAAGGTCCATCCATGTTGCTACACATGGCATTTCATTGTTTCTCATTGCCATGTAGTATTCCATGGTATAGATAAACCACATCTTCTTGATCCATTATCTGTTGATGGACACTTAGGCTCTTTCCATGTCTTGGCTATTGTTGAGAGTGCTGCTATGAACATTGGGGTCCATGTGCTCCTATACATCAGCACTCCTGTATCCCTTGGGTAAATTCCTGCAGTGCTATTGCTGGGTCCATTTTTAATTCTTTTAATGTTTATTCTTTTTTGAGAGGGGGGCCAGCATAGAGAGAGAAGGAGACGCAGAATCTGAAGCAGGCTGCAGGCTCTGAGCTGTCAGCACAGAGCCCAACACGGGGCTTGAACTCATGAACCACGAGATCATGACCTGAGCTGAAGCCACCCAAGTGCCCCAGTAATAGAACATTTTTTATGGTCTATTCTATTTCTTTGCTTTGGATTATTAGCTGTAACTCCTTGCTGCCTTAGTTGCTGCGACCTGTCACGGTCTGCCTTCAGGCAATACTATACCACATGACAGAGAAGATCAGAACCCTAGAACAGTTAGAACACTTCCAGCTCGCTCTCCTCTGCACTGTTGTGTGAGTGTCACCCCATCTCTCTTAGCTAGCTCTTACTCTCTTAGTGTAAATTCCGACATATGCGGTTATTAGATTTGCTTGAGTCAATGATTTATTTTTCAAACAGTTAAATTTTTTCAATGTTTTTATTTATTTTTGAGAGAGAGAGACAGATAGTGAGCTGGGGAGGGACAGTGAGAGAAGGAGACACAGAATCAGAAGGAGGTTCCAGGCTCTGAGCTGTCAGCACAGCTCGAACTTGTCAACCACAAGATCATGACCTGGGCGAGGTCAGACACTCAACCAACTGAGCCACTCAGGAGCCCCTCAAACAGAGTTAAGTAATCCACACATTTGGTCATATTTATCTCTGTAGTTAGCCCTTCTGACTCTTACAATCATTTTGTAGATTCAGATTCTCTCTGGAATTACTTCCTCCTACATGAGGGAAGTCCATTATTATTGCTTGTATTATGCATCAGTTGATGATCAATTCAGTCAGTTTGGTACATCTGAAAAAAAATATTTTACTTAACCTTGGTTATTGAAGTATATTATCTCTGGAAAAAGAATTGAGGGTTTTTTGCTTGTTTGTTTTTCAGTATTTTTAAATTTTTTCTTTTAATGTTTATTTACTTATTTATTTGAGAGTGAGAGCGAGAGAGACAGAGAGAGAGAGAATGAGCAGGAGGGGGGGCAGAGAGATGGCGAATGAATCCCAAGGAGGCTCCTCACGGTCAGTTCAGAGCCAGACACAAGTCTCAATCTCAAGAACCATGAGATCATAACCTAGGCCAAAATCAAGACTCACATATTTAATCAACTCACACATTTAACCACCCAGGTGCCCCAAGGTTTTTCAGTGTTTTAAATATGTTAATCCACTGCCTTTTCACATGTGTCCTGCAAATGAGGAATCTGTCAGGATCCTTAATCATGGCTCCCTTTACCAAGTGTCTTTCCTCTCTGGTTGCTTTTAAAACTGTCTTTTTTTTTCTGCCTTAAACAATTTGATATTGATGGGTGTTGTACTTGGGGTTTCTCAAGAATTTGGAATCTGTAGATTTTGACTTTTCATGAAATTTAGGACATTTATGGCCACAAACACATCAATATTCTTTTCCACCTCCCCATCTTCACTTCCTGTGGGGACAAGAACTTGTGTATCTGTTGCTGACATTTCCTACACTCAGTGCTGCTCTGATCACTTTAAAGTATTTTTGTGTCTCTTTTGCAGTGTCCATCCTGTGTTCATGTTCAGTCACGTGTCTGCATGTTGTGTCTGATGTTAATCTCAATCCTTGTGTTCATAATCTGAGACGTTGTACGTTGCATCTCTAGTAGTTTGATTTGGATCCTTTAATTTTTTTCTCTGTCTCCTCTTAGCATTTTGATCATTCAGACTAAATTTGGATTAAAGTCTGAAACATCGTACTGACTTAAATCTACAGTCTTCCGTCCTTCCAGCAGCTTCCAGACCTGCCACCCCATGGCTCTGTGAACTGTTTCTCAACATCATTGCTTCTCTCTCCCACTGTTTCTGTCTGTGCATCTCAGATAAACATACACAGACATGTACATGACACTATTTCTTTATTAGATCCATATTCTCCAGACAATACTAAGCAATGCACCTTATTACCTAGAACTCTTTGTTGTTAAAAAGGTTTTACTTTAGTGGTCCTTTTAGGGTTGACAGTCCTCACCTGCTGCCTTATCAAACTACATCCCAGTGACATGACATATACATACAGGATGAGGAAGTCCTAACATGGTCTCATCTTCCTAATTACTTTTGCTCTCATTGTCATAGGTTTTATTTGTATAGCTGTTGTTTTTGCTATTGTTTTCTTTAAGCATTTGGCTTTTATAGACATTAACCAATAACATTTTTAGTATATTTATCATGTAATTATATTTTCTGATGTCTTTTATATCTTTATGTAGCTGCTCATTTCCTTCTGTCACCCTTTCCTGCTGTCCAAGTGGTGTCCTTTGCTGTTGCTTGTGTGAGGGTCTGCAGGTGACTGGTTCTCTAAGGTTTGCCATTTGAAAAAGGTTGTTTATCTTCTCTTTTCAATGAGACTTTTCCTGGGTCAAAACCAAAGTTGACAGGTATTTTCTATGAGGATTGTGGAGACATTGCTCCCCTGTTCTCTTGCTTACACAGCTGTAATGAAAAATGTGTTCCCACCATGAAGCTGGTTCCTCTATAGGGAACACATCCTTTCTCTGGCTGTGAGAGTGTCTGCGTCACTGGTTTGTAGCAAATTGTTTGTGTTTGGGGCTGTCTCTTATGTTCTCTGTGCCCAAAATTTGTTGAGCTTCTTGGATACAATGGTTCACGTGTTACACCATATTGGAAACCTTTTGCAGATTATTTTTTGTTATTGTCCATCAGTTCCCTCCCTGCTCTCCCTCTGTTCCTACAAGGCACACTCTCTTGGTGGCGTGAAGTTGTCTTACAAACACTGAACTCGTTATTATTTTTTTTAGGTGTTAGCTCTCTGTTTCATTTTGAATAGTTTCTATTGTTAATGACATCAAAGTCACTATTCTCTTCTTTTGCAACATCTCTGCTGTCAATCTGTCCAGTAGTTTCTCAAATTTCGGAACATTTAATTATGGAAATTTTAAAGATTTTGTCTTTGAAAAATGTCTTCTATATCTACTTCTCAACACTCGGGCATTCCTTCACCCACAGTAACAGAGGAAATCTAGTTCTAATAACTGTGTATGAATCCCCTGCGGATCCACACTATACAGAGCCTGTCTGATGGTTGGAGAGGAAGGAGACTGAATCCAGGCCTCAGATCGGGGGACCTGGGCCAGGCCTACTCATAGCTTTATGCAGAGTTGTCAGGGGCTGGAGGACAGTGTGACACAGACAGACAAGGGGTTTGTGTCTCACTTCCCCATCTGCCTGTGTCACTGTGTGCATCACTACTGCTGTCATAGGTTTGACAGTAATAGTTAGCCTCATCCTCGGCCTGGGCCCCACTGATGGTCAGGGTGGCTGTGTTCCCCGAGTTTGAGCCAGAGAATCTGTCAGGAATCCCCGTGGGCTGCACACTACCCCCATAAATGACCAGCACGGGGGCTTGGCCTGGCTTCTGCTGGTACCAGTTTGCATAATTATCCTCCGGTCCAGAGCAGGTGATTGTAGCTGTCTGTCCCAGGGCCACTGACACCGTGGGTGGCTGAATCAGCTCACTGGCAACCATGGATCCTGGAAAGACAAAAGAGGAGGAGTTGGCATCAGGTTCAGGGGCTCATTCCAAGGACTCAATACTGAGACTGTGCCAGTCTAAACTCAGGGTTTGGTTCAGGTGCAGCTCAGGCCCTTTGGGGGCTGGGCATGGGCAGAGGGTCAGCGACAGCACCTGTGCACAGAGTGAGGAGGGGGAGCAGGAGAAGGGTCCAGGCCATGGTGAAGATGCCCAGAGCTCTGTGTTCTGAGACCCACAGCACTGCTGGGCTCCACCCCAGCCTTTCTTATTCCTTTCCAGGCCCTTGGGACTATGATTATTAGTAGTTATGCAAATCTCCTCCACCTCTAGGGCTCCTAACTGATAAACCACTTGTGGGGTCAGAACATGTGACTGAAAAGGAAGAGGGGTTCTCCCAGCTTCCTCCAAACAGCTCTCAGATCAGACCAGCAGCCTTGGCCTTCAGGGTCTGGGTTCAGTCACATTCTTGCAATCAGACCACATGACAATGGTCTGAAACCACCCTGCTTGGAGCCTGTGCTGGGCTCCCTCTGTGGTTTTTCAGGAGCCTAGCTGTGGGGCTGGGCTGGGCCCTCAGAGAGATACAGACAACACCTGAATCAAGGTAATATGGTCCTGTGGCCTCATTACCTTCCTACTACTGATTCCTGTTGCCACTGCATCCTCAGAGGCACTGTCATCCCATCCTTGGCATGTCTTGAGAATGTGGAGCTTTCTCATTTGAATGTTTGTTTGCCATTGTGTCTGTGAGAGTCCACTTGTTCAACAACCACCTGCTTTTAGAATTCATCACACCTTCCAGTTTATTGTTGTGTGGTAACTGATTCTCTCTAACACCCCCCATCCTACAGCAGGGGACCAATTGCCATTGTCTACTCTTTTCTTTTATGTTTTTCTACAGTGTTAGAATGAATTTGTTCAAATTGCATGAGAGGCCACCCTGACTTAAAAAGCCACCATGAAGCTCCATGTCTTGTTAGGGTCTCCAGGGTTGTCTTCCCACATGGGTGAGCTTTAGAGCCAGAGCCGAGGTCCCTGCAGGGAGCTGGATCCTGTCACTGAACCAGGACAGCTCCAGGACCAGAGCTGTGGTGTCAGGTAGTGAGAATGCACCTCACTCTGGAGACAGCCTCACAGAGACACTGTGGGTGCTCCTGCCAGGGCCCAGGGACTCCAAGTGCCTGGCCTCTTGCCCCCTGAGACACTCCTGAGCCCAGAAACAGAAGCTCTGGGTCTGAGTGTGCTTGGTGGTAGGGAAGGAGAGGCAGAGGGTGAGTTGTCAGGGTGTTCTGGACACGTCTCTCACAGATGAGACAACTCCCTGGGAACACTGGTGGGGAGGGTGTTGATCTGCATTTGCTGGGTGAAAAATTCAGTGTCAGCAATTCCATCAGTGCCCTGTGTGTCTGGCCCTCAGAACAAGGAAGGTCCCAGCATCTTGTGGAGACAGACCAAGTTGTCTGAATATCTTGTAAGGACTGAACGCTGAATACCTGCTCATCCCCAGGTCTGCTCTATCTATGAGGCTCCACCTGGGCAGCCCCAGCCTATCCTGCTGCTCCTGCTGCTGCTCTGCTGCCCCCTGCTGGTGGAGGAGGACTCAGACAAGGAGATTCCCTCCTGCAGGTACATCCCCCAGCACTTGTCACCTGAGAAAGTGTGGGGACCAGGGAGCGCAGCCTCCCCCAGACTCTCCTCACTTTCAGCTCCACTGCTCTCCTCAACCCAGAAACACAGGTCACTAACACTGTGCAGGAGGCAGGACATGTGCGATTCCTGTACTTGTCCTAGGGTTGAAATGCCCTGGACTAGCTCAGTGTCTTCTCACAACATGTAGAGTGTAGGGTACAGTGTAGTGCATTTGAAAAGGGTCAGTGTCCAGATAATCCTGTGTGATGTCCCACTGACACCACATTCCTGTGTTAAGTGTCAATACTTATGCTTCCCCAACCCAATTAGTGCAGATGTTCTTCAGTGGGAACAGGTGATAATTCTGACATAAAATTCATTTTGTGCACCAACCTTTATTAGTATTATTATTCCTTGCTATTATTTTTATCCCAACCCACATCTCTTGGACTTTGGGGCAGGAGGATTTCTACATTAGCCCAGTTGGCAGTTTGGGAGGATATTGGGAATCTGCTAATTCAGATGTGTTTCTTCAATTTCACATCATACAGATCACACTTTGCTGAGTCCTTTGTATGGAATTCTGCAGAGGATGGACAAGAGACTCCCAGATGAGCTCTTACTCACAGAGACCCCACAGAGTCTCTGTTTAATGAATAAAGCTGTTAAAATGCTTTGTATCATTTAACTTGAAACAGAAAAGCATTTCTAACATCGGTATAAGCAATATTATTTTCACAGCCCATAAAGGTGAAGCCTAGAGAGACTAGGTTCCTGGAACCACAGATAAAAGTGAGGTGAGGCCAGGAAGAGAGCCCTGGTGTCCTGGATTGAGATCCTTGGCCGTTTGGGTCAGAGCTTGACCAGAGGAGGTTAGGAGGGAGGGTGAGGTCACGTTAGGTAGCAGGGCTTGTGTCCCTTGACTCCCTGCCCTCCCCATCCTGACCTGGTCTATAAAGGAGCCCCCTCAGCGTGGCTGTTGTGAGGTTCAGTGCGGTCGTGTCCCAGGTTAGAGCTGGAGAATCTGTGGGGATGGTGGATTTGGCAGTGCAGGGACCTGGCTTGGGTGCTGCTGGGTTTGCTCCTCATTACTGCTTGGTCCTCTCTCCTGGGTATGTGGTGGTGACAGGGTCTCATGGCCACTCCGCTGGGGGCTGACTAGGAGTATCGTGGACCACAGAACTTGCAGGATCAGAAGATTGTGGGGCACATTCTCAGTGATCCCACTCCCACAGCATCCTCTGGGCTGATCTCAGGGTCAGGGACATGCTCAGGGTCCCGTGGGGACTGAGACTGTGGGAAGCACCTGGACAGAGAGTGAGGAGTGGGAGGAGGAGAGGGTGCAGAGGGTGGGGACCCCATGGTGGGGACCCCAGAGTTCTCTCTCTTGAGCCCACAGCTGAGTCTGGTTCCTCAAACCTTCCTCATCCCCTCAGAGGTCCCTGTGAAAATATTCCTTCTCAGGCTGGTGGAGAGAATCTCTCTGTATATTGTGGGCTTCATGGATCTGGTTCACATGGAGCTATGCCCATGCTTGCAGAAGAGCTCTTGTCATTCTGATTTGAAAATTCTTAAACTGTGGGGGGAAAGAGGGAGAGGTGAAGGGCATTTCTGTATCAGTTTCTCAAGAAATGTGCACTATGAATATTGTGTGTGTGTGTGTGTGTAAAATACATGCAACATAATTTTTTTCATCCTTATTTGTAAGTGTTCAATTGTCTTCCCTAATTCTCTATCTGTTCCCTGTGAATGTTTCATGCTCTATATTGTGAATCAGAATTGGTGTGAACTTGTCCTTAACTTACACTTGGAATTTAATGCATTTTTATTTAAAGTAGGGTTCTTAAATTCAGCATAGAGTCTAGTGTTGTTGTTAAACTCAGTTTTACAATTTGTCTTTTCATTATACTTAGACTATTTCCTGGATGTGATTAGTATTATCATTTCCATATAGCGTCATTGTATATAGTGTTTCTTTGTCCATGTTCTCCTTGGTACATTTTCCATTTCTGTGTTTTTTCAGTTAAAGGAGCATATTTTTTTATTCCATTGTCTCTCTCTCTCCCCTTATTTGGCTATTAGCTGTATCGTGACTATCATATTTTCCGGACTTGCAGTCATTCCCACATGTCACACAGAGTGTCAGATCCTAAGTAAAACCTCTCTCTTCTCCTAATCTTCGTTGTAATTCACACATGTTACTTTTATGTGTGTTTTAATTCCAACATACATAGGTATTAGATTTGCTTTAGATAGTGAATTATCTTTAAAAGAGATTTAGATGCTAGAACAAGTCTTGATATTTTTTCCAGTAGTTAGTATTTGTGATTATTACATTTTTTATAATGTTTTATTTATTTCTAGGAGAGAGAGAGAGAGACAGCGTGAGCTGAGGAGGGTCAGAGAGAGAAGGAGTCACAGACTGAAACAGGCTCCAAGCTCTGAGCTGGCAGTCAGCACAGAGCCCGACGCGGGGCTCGAACCCACGAACCGCGAGATCATGACCTAAGCGAAAGTCGGACGCTTAACCGACTAAGCCACCCAGGCGCCCCTATTACATTTATTTTTTAGAATCAAATTCTTTCTGAATTACTCTCTCCTTTCTGAGAGGTGTCCAGTATCGTTTCTTGTATATTTGTTTGGCTGATGATCAAACCTGTCACTTTTTGTGTGTCAGAAAACTATGTAGCCTTCATTTTCCCTGGGTAAAGATTAAGTTTTTCCCCCCAGTATTTAAAAAAGTTAATGTGTTGTATTTTGCTTGAACTTCTGCTACTGGGAAATTTGCTAGAATCCTTCCCTGCCTTTCCCTAAAAGCTGTGTGCCTTCTCTTTCCTGCTTCTTTAAGACACTCTTGTTTTCTCTGCCATAAACAATTTGATATTGATGGGGTGAAGATTCTTTTTAATGTATATGTTTTTGTTCTATCTGATTTTACTCTTTCTCATTGACTCTCACTGAATTTTGTTGAGCTTTTGGGATCTGTGGGTTTCAATTTTAATCCAATTCTGAATATTTTTGGCCACATTTCATCACATATATTTCCATCTTCTGCACCTCATCTTCTTCCCTTTGGGGACACAATCACACCCTATTACATCCCTGTAAGATTGTAGTACAGCTTGGTGACTCTTCGTTCACTTTGCAAACCTTTTTCTGTTCTCCAATTCGCAGTGTCTGTGTTGTGTCATCAATATACAGAAATCGGTTGCACTTTTATACACCAATAATGAAACAACAGAAAGAGAAATCAAGAAACTGACCCCGTTCACAATTGCACAAAAAAACATAAAATATCTAGGAATAAACCTAACCAAATATATAGGAGATTTGTATGATGAAAACTATAGAAAACTTGTGAAGGAAATTGAAGAAGACACAAAGAAATGGAAAAACATTCCATTTTCATGGGTTGGAAAAATAAATATAGTGAAAATGTCATTACTACCCAAAGGAATCTACACATTCAATGCAATTCCAATCAAAATTGCACCATCATTCTTCTCAAAACTAGAACAAACAATCCTAAAATTTGTATAGAACCACAAAAGACCCCGAATAGCCAAAGTAATATTGAAGAAGAAAACCAAAATGGGAGGCATCACCATCCCAGACTTTAG